TCACAGCCCAGAGTTGTGGGGACGTCTCTTCCTGGCCCTGGAGCCCTGGGCTGGGGGCCTGCTGTGGGGCTGGGACCCCTCGCTCCCCCAGGAAACCTCCCCCGCCAAGATGTCCCTCCCGGGTTTCAACCGCGGCATGGGGTGTGGGCCCGCGGCCGCATCTCCCCAATTCAGCCCCCATCCTCCCGCGTCTCCGCCCCTCCTCCCGGTCTCGGTGCTTCTTCAGCTCCCTGGTTGTGGGGCTTCTGTGCAGCCAGGTTTCAGGAGGTTCTGAGTGACGGTGGTTCTATATTTTAGTTGTAATTTTTATGTGGTTGAGGGAGGCGGCGGGTGCAGCTGTTACCTGGGCCGCCATCTTGTTTCTCCCAGAAAACTCTTAAAAAAGAGACTTTTTCTTTTCTATTATTTAGTTATCCGGTGGTATAGTTTATGGAGGGTGCAGGATCAATTTAATTTTTAAATATAACATTATATATATGTCCTAGCAATAAATTTTAAAAAGGGCATGTCAGTTTTATGAAGAAATTATAAAGCTGTATTAAATTAAATTAAAATAGGCCTGAATAAATATAATTTTCTATATAATGCTGTATATAGTGTTCATACATAGGAAGATTTCACCATCATAAAGATGACAATTCTCCCTAAATTAACCCATAAATTCAATGCAATTTCAGTTTTTAAAATACTCCAGTAGAGATTTTGGTGGAACATGGGAAGTTGATCCTGAAAGTCATAAAGAGGGGTCAAAAATGCCAATACAATTTTGAAGAAAAACAAAGTGGAAGAGTTTGCCCAGCAAAATATCAAAAATTACTTTAAAGGTAAGTGATATTGCTTAGGGACAGACAGAAGAATACAGAGAATCCAGAAAAAAAAAAAAAAATGCACTCAAGTATGGCAAAAGTGGCATTCTAAACAGTCGGGAGAGAATGAGCTGTCTCCAGAGTTAAGGATGCTCCTTTCTTAAAGGGAGGGCCCCTCTCACATGACCTGCTTCAGGGGAGAACAGGGAGATGAGAGTCCTTTCTGCACCTGCCTTTTCTCAAGTTCCTTTGGCTTAAAATATTCTATATGCCAAGGCACCATATATTGGAATCCATAGCATGTCCTAAACCCTGTCAACTGATAAATACCAAGTTTAAGAGAATGGTTATCTCTGGGAGAGAGGGAAATAACATTGTATGTGATAGAATGAAGAGTTGGACTATTTCTGAAATATTTATTTCTTTGAAAAAATGTGAGTCAAATGTGGCAAAATGTTAAGATTTCACAAAGCTAGGTGGTAAGTACATGGTTAATCATTATGCAGTATTTTTTTCTACACTCTGCATTCTTAAAATATTTCACAGATTTTTTTAAAAAACCTAAAACTTATAAATATTATTCAAAATACTGACCTGCTTCAGTGGAGAACAGGGAGGTGAGAGAGTCCTTTCTGCACGTGCCTTTTCTCAAGTTCCTTCGGCTTAAAATATTCAATATGCCAAGGCGCCATATTTTGGAGTCCGTAGCATGTCCTAATTTCAGTACTTCCTAAATATCAGGTTATTTTCCTAGAGGAAAAAAAAAATCACCCTTCTGTGGTTCCCATCCCAAAACTGACAGGATTTCAGTTCTAGCTAAGTTACACCAATGTAGAACCTCAGCTTTTGGTCAATACAAACGCGCCCTCTGCTGGTCCTATCATGCCCTTACCCAAAGTTCAAAATAGCTGTGAAGGTCAGTGAATATCCAATGAGACAGCTTTTTCTGAGCCAGCCATGTTAAAGAAAGAAACCCTCACAGAACCCCGGTATCATGAAAATACTATAGTCAGCTCCCACACTCTGCTGATACTACATAGTATTCAAGACAAAATAAATTCCAAGATACCACTGCAGTCAGCTTCTCAGTTTCCTCAACTACCCTGTGCATTAACAATTACGTACCCACTCCCAAGTCTGGAGGTTGGTGTGTGAGACAGTGCATGCCACTCTCAATGTTTGGGAATAGCAGAAAGGAGCCCAAGTTGAAAAAAAGGCTCTGAGGTGGGGGCTGGGCAGGAGGGGGGGGCTGGGACAACAATTGAACACAGAAAAATTGATTAACTGTATTATTAAGAGAATGATGCTGGTAGAATAAGTGAACTTTTTCTTTTCAAATCGTTCTTTAAATTATAATACCTTTAAATAAGTTTGAGGAGAAATAAAATTAATTTGTATGAGAATCAACTGCTCAAAGAGAATGAGAGAAAAATGGGATTGAATATTAGTGTCTGACTTTCAAAGTTTTTTTTAGTTTTAGTTTTGTTTTGTTTGGTGTTAACATCCATACCCCCACTAGACCTTAAGCTCCCTGAGACCAGGGTGTGTGTTCACCCTCCTCACCACTATATTCCCGGCACCTAACACAGTGCCGGCATGTAGTATGTATTTCATGAACAAGTGAGAAATGAAGGAATGAATGGCCACTTCCTTGGACTGTAAATTGGTACAAATTCTCTAGGGAACAATTTGGCAGTAGACATTGTTCCATAAAGACTGTATATCCTTTAATACTCATAGATGTGGACAAAAAAGTAAGACTTTAATAGTCAAAGGCATTCCTTTCAGGGATATGCTATGCAAAGTTCTTTATAGTTATAAAAACTTTGAAACAATCTGAATTTCAAAAGTTACATGTTTGGTTTTATTCAATATAGTACATGTATATGATGAAAATATGTATCTTATATCTTTAATTTTAAATGTCAAATTAATGCATTATAAACTACTTCCCTAATCCCATTGTTGACCTGATCGCCCCTTATTGGGCTGTTTTTAATTTTTTACTATTAATAATAAGCGTTGTAATAAATAAGTTGGTACAAAAAGCTATTTCTTCCTTTGAATTATTTCCTTATGATAAATACTCAGGAGTGAGATTCTTAATCAAAGACCAGACATTTTTCTGGTTCTCAATACATACTGTCATTGCTTTCCCAAAGGGTCTTACTAATTTTAATGTCACCTGCCCTGTGCCAGCACTGATTTCTGCGGCATTTGCTAATTTCCTAGGTATAACTTATCTCACTGTTCTAATCTGCATGCTGTCGACTACTCACCAGCTAGACATTTTCCTATGCCTGAGATCATTGACTGTTGTCCTTTGCTGATTAAGGATGCTCTCTGTTTTCACAGACCCAGAGCCAGGGAGTGTGACCCTGAGCCCTCTCAGCGCTTCCCGGGCTGAGCATATCCAGAGGCCTGAGGCAGACACTGTCCGTAAGGCGTAAGTGTTCAAAGTTGTAATGACGTGGACTTCTCTGCTTTTATTTTGTTTTTGTTTATTAATTCATTTCATTTCTGTTTTTTCTGAAGATCCTCAGTTAATAGCATACTCTGACAGCCAGAATCAAACTGCTATCTAAATCCAAAGATTCTTGGGAAGACTGTATGGTGATGTGTTTCCTATTTAAACCAGACTCTTTGGGT